GAAGGATAGTGTGAATGGTACCCACGGATAGCTTAGTCTTTTCTGCTAATGTTTTCACTCTGATACGGGCATCTTCCAATACAAGTTTCTCGACAATTTTGACGTTTTCTTCAGAAGTGGCACTTACCGGCCCTCCAGCACGGGGGTCGTCTTCAATACTTTCTCTACCCTGTTTAAATTCACTAGACCACTTCTGAATAGTAGATAATGAAGGAGCAGAATCTTGATAAACAGCCACCATTTCTTCATGAATGACTTTTTGAGTCTTTCCTTGTTTTGTAAGGAATTCAATCACTGCGCGGTGCTCGATTTTCGTCAACATTGTGGCATCTGTCATTGTAGTTGTCTTCTCGTATTGATAACTTGAATACTAATGATGACAATTACATGAAATTTTATATTTATACCCTTAAAGAGTGTCTTTAACTAATGAGGTAATTAATTTACTCTTATCATTAGTTAATCACCCCGATACCGAGGATACATTGAACGCCCTGGTAGATATACCATATCAACGCATTTTGTGGAGACAATCACCAAAAGAAAAAATAGAAGAATATGAACTAACGACAGTCACGTATGGCACAGCGTCAGCTCCATATTTAGCAACCAGGACTTTACAACAACTTGCCATAGATGAGAAAGACAACTTCCCAAAGGCCAGTCAAGTCACTCTGCATGATTTTTATGTAGATGACATATTGTCTGGGGCACATGACGTAAATTCAGCAAAGCAACTACAAACTGACCTAATAAATATGCTACGTACAGGAGGTTTTAATTTGAGGAAATGGTCATCAAACAATGGTGAACTGTTAGACAACATCCCAGATCGATCAGATATTGACGACAAAACAATGAAGTTGCCATTAGAAGAGAGTAGAAAGTCACTGGGAGTACTATGGTCACCAATAGAAGACATCTTTTGTTATAAAGTAACAACAAATAACAACAAAAACCCAACAAAACGATTTATACTATCTGAAATTGCCAAATTATTCGATCCATTGGGATGGTTAGCACCTGTGATAGTAACAATGAAAATAATAACGCAAGAACTATTTACTAATAGTACAGAATGGGATCAGCCTGTAGATGAAAAAATTAAACACAAGTGGACAGAAATACAACAACAGCTAAAAACAATCGAAAGCATAAAAATTCCAAGGTGGTGTTATGTAACGCCAAGCAAAAAAGTAGAACTGCACGGAGTTTGTGATGCGTCAGAGAAAGCTTACGGTGCAGTAATTTACTGCCGAGTGCAGGACAGCGATAAAACATACAGGGTGACACTTTTGCAAGCAAAATCGAAAGTAGCACTAAATAAACAAAGAACTACTCTACCGAGGTTGGAATTATGTGCAGTATTATTACTAGCTCAGTTGATGGAAAAAGTCATCAAAACTATGAATTTCATTGAAGCAGAAGTCTACTGTTGGACAGATTCAATGATTACACTTGGGTGGATCAAAGGAGAAGCCAATAGATGGAAGACCTTTGTGGCCAACAGAGTATCGGAGATACAAAAACAACTACCACAAGCAAAATGGAACCACGTGATAACTAGTCAAAACCCAGCTGACATAATCTCCCGAGGAACCGAACCAAAAAAATTACTAGAACTACCAATATGGTGGAATGGCCCTAGCTGGTTAAATGATGAATACATACCTACAACAAAGACAGTACCAGAAATTTGCGAGGAAATAAAAAGAAGTCACCAGACAACTATATCGACAAAAGAAAATCAAATATGGGATAGATTCTCAAGCTACCAAAAGATGATCAGAGTATTATCTTACTGCTACCGACTTCTTTACAAGGAACGAGGTAACAAATCATTATCGTGTGAGGAAATAGAGCGTACTAGAAAACAAGTGCTATTATTAGTAAAACAAGAAGAGTTCCAAGAAGAATATAATACCTTAAAACAAGGAAAACCATTAAAAAAGGGAAGTAAACTGACAACCCTAGATCCCTTCATAGATATGGACGGATTACTACGAGTTGGGGGCAGATTGCAAAACTCTAACCTACCATACAATCAAAAGCACCCAGTATTATTGCCACAAAGCCATCACGTGACCTTACTAATCATATGCGACGCTCACTTAAAAACCTTACATGGAGGCAATGGTTTGACATTAGCGTACATACGGCAAAAGTATTGGATACTTGGAGGAAAAAGAAGAGTCAAAAGTTACATAACTAACTACGTAAAATGTATACGATATAAATTGAGAACAGCAACCCAAAAAATGGGTGAATTACCGAGAGCCCCTGTAACCGAATCCTATCCATTTAGTCACACTGGAGTAGATTACGCAGGTCCTATTCTAGTAAGGGCTATGAAAGGTCGCGGACACAAATCCTATAAGGGTTATATAGCAGTTTTTGTTTGCATGTCCACAAAGGCAATACACCTGGAATTGGTGGGCGATTTATCTACAGAGTCGTTCATCGCTGCACTACGACAATTTACAGCACGAAGAGGCCCAGTGTCACACATCTATAATGATAATGGCACTAATTTCGTTGGAGCTGCCAATTTTTTAAACCAAGAGTTACTTCAAACTACACAATCAAGTGATTTCCAAAATGCATTAACTACCATGGCAACCAAATGGCATTTCATTTATTTTATTTATTTTATTTTATTTTATTTGGTACAACAACAGACATTAGATCACAAACAATACTTATTAACAAGAAAAAACACATAACACTTTAAATCTAATATCCAATAATAGTTATACACAACTTTCCTAAATATTTATATTTTTAACAAACAGGTATAATATTCATAGGTATAATATACATACAATATATATTTATTCATATAGTTATATTTATGTATTTATATTTATATTTCAAACAAATACTATTTCAACAAATATTAAAAGCAGTGCCAAATGAACATAAACACTAATTTCTGTTACAACTTGAATACATTGCAGCTTTGAATGACATAATACTATTTGAAAATATGTCATGGCGGGAACATAAGTCATTGTATAATCGACATATTCTATATAACGGCCCATTTTGTGAAACGTTGTTCCTCATAGGTGGCAAGCTAAACAACTGTGGAATACGCATAGACCGAGTTGGCACCCTAAATTTTAGATGTTCAATCAGCTGAGAATCCATGGTAGAGTTTACAATTCTGTGCAGAGTGCATAAGTCGGAGACCCGTCTGCGATCTTCAAGACTCATCATCTTAAACCTACACAATCGTTCAGAGTAATTGGGCAGCTTACGCCGAAGTCCGTATTTTGAACTGGGACATCTTGCAAATCTACGTTGTATAGACTCTATTCTATCAACATGGATATCATATATAGGGTACCAGATAGGCGAGCAGTATTCCAGGATACTTCTAACCAAGGCATTGTACAATATTATTAAAGAGGTGGCATTACGAAATGGCTTAGTATTACGTAGGAGAAAAGATAATAAACGATTTGCATTATTACATATATGGTCGTAATGGGGTCTAAAAGAAAGAACCGAATCAAACATGACGCCCAAGTCGCGCACAACGTTCACACGATCCAACACACCACCGCCAACACCGTAAGCATAATTTAATGGCTTCTTGTTTTTGGTGAAAGTGATAACTTGGCATTTCTTCGCATTAAGGGCCATGTAGTTATGATTACACCAATTTTCAATTGTGTCAAGATTGGACTGCAGAGTCAAACAATCATTCATATCGCAAATACGGTGAAAAATCTTAACGTCGTCTGCGTATGCCAAACATTCACATCGAATCAAACCCAAAAGATCATTAACGAAAGTTAAGAATAATAGAGGGCCGAGATTTGATCCTTGAGGCACACCAGACAGTGCAAGAAACGGAACAGACTCAAATCCACTGAGGGCTACTAGTTGAGAGCGATTCATAAGGTACGATGAGATCCAGCGATGGAGACTTCCGTGAACACCAAGATGATCCAACTTTGACAGTAGTACCATATGATTGACACGGTCAAAAGCTTTAGAGAAATCTAAGTAAATAGCGTCAACCTGGCACTTATCATTAAATGCGTCACAAAGGTAAGTTACGTAAGAAAGTAAATTTGAACATGTCGAGCGACCAGAAATGAATCCGTGCTGATTTGGACTTAGTAAATGCTTGAAGTGGCTATAGAGGTGAGTGTATACTAGACTTTCAAATATTTTAGCAAACCAACTCAATATACAAATGGGCCTGTAATTAGTAACATCGGCTCTGTCGCCAGACTTATGAACCGGTGTAATCTTTGCAATCTTCCACAATGAGGGAAACACACCACTCGACAAGGACATATTATAGATGATTGTTAGCGGTTTGACAAGAACTGAAGCGCAGAGACAAATAAATACTGGTGGAATACCATCAGGACCGGGACCCTTAGATAAATCGACATGCTTGAGCTGTTTCAGGACAATATCAGAAGATAGAGTAATGTTGAATATTGACAAGTTACAGTGTGGAAATTCAGGGGTATATGTGACATTATTTTGGGCCCCATACACAGACGAGAAGTAATCGGCAAAAAGATTTACAATGTCACTACCATTCTCTGCTCTACGATCATTGTATCGCATCAGCTTGGGGTAGCTGTTAGTTACTCTCTTACCTCTAGTGTAACGCCAGAACGCCTTGATGTTCACAGACAGATCACTCTCAATACGCTCAATGTAGACCCTTAGACATTGCTCCAGTACGGCTTTTACCCTCAACCTTAACATTGAAAATGTATCGTAATCGCGGGGGTTGCCGTACCGCTTGAAGCGATTGTGGTACTTTTGCTTGTTTTTAATTAACACAATCAAACCCCTTGAAAACCAAACCGGATATCTTGTTGATTTAGTCCTGATCCTAGGTGTGTATTTTTCAATAGTCTCATGCACAATATTATAGAACGCGTGCAGAAAGTCGTCACAGTTATGAATAGATGCCAAATGATCCCAGTCAACCATCGCTAATTCACTCATACAACCTTCTATGTCAGTTTTATAGAAGCAAAGTCTGTTACATACTGATTTGTTAATGTCTAATAAAGATGCCTGAACAACGAATGTTACCTCAAAGGAAGGATGATGTGCATCCAGACGGCTTAGGGCTGGGGTGCTGATAAGTGAGAAGAGTTCCGGGTTATTTGTGATTGCTAAGTCAAGAAGTCTTTGGTTATGATTTAATATAGTGTTAAGTTGTGTCACGTCTACAAACTGAAATAAGTCGGAAAGGGCTTTCGATTTGTCGCAATTATGCTTTATTATGTGACTCTTATCATTAGACCACACAACCTCCCCCAAATTGAAATCACCAAGAATAATTGTTTTATCGTATGGATAGGAATGTAGTATTCGTTTACAATTAGTTACAAAATCTTGATAAAGTTCTATAGGTAAATAATCCGGTAAATAAACAATGCATATATTAATAGTTAATTCTTTTTTACTATTCGTTATTTGTATCCATAAATCCTCCACCAGATCAGACCGCCAATCTGTCCTATTGATAAAATTAAGATTTTTAGAGATCGCCATCAATATCCCCCCTCCATCCTGTTTATTGAAGCGTTTAAAAAATCTATTACATCTGTCTCTGCGCACCACACAGTATCTGTCATCAAACAGCTCCGAAGAAATAATACTATTATTTAGCCACGTTTCCGCCATACACACTATATCAAAATTACTAAATAGAAATGAATTGTAATTATCATTCGTTTTGGTTTTTAATCCTCGCACATTTTGGTAATAGACAGAGATAGCCATTTCATTAATTACAATTCAATGAACCTGGTACAATGCGTAAAAACTTTAAACAATACCACCTTAACGAATAAGTGCAAGACTTTCCTGGTTCTTGATGTGGATGTACGAAGAGTTGGGGTCCTTTCTAACGAAAATGCGTCCATTGCGTACCCATACGAACTTGTACCCAGTCTCCTTTGCTTTTTTCCTCGCAGCTGCATGAAGGGTTTTATAGAATGGGGACAAGTGCTCACAGACATAAATAGGCTTTTTCTCACCCGCTACGCCCAAATGATTCGTATTTAGTTTGTCATTAGGGTTGGCTTTGTTGTAGCGGTACACAGCTGAATAGAATTCGTCACGACTCCGGACACTCTTAAATTTAGCCACAATAGTCTTAGGCAGTTTGCTGTGCTTATTAAGTTTTGCAACTCTCACACAGCTAACTACGTCTCCATCATTTAATTTGTGCCCAGTAAATTGCGCACATTGATGCAATACGGTAGACAAATTCTCCGAACGAAATTCAGGGACACCATGCAATTCTAAATTATTCTCTCTTAAGTGCTGTTCCAGGCTATTTAATCTTCCTTCCAGATCGTGAACCGTGGTTTGCAATAGCTGGTTTGCGCCTTTTAGATGAGCATTATCCTTGATCAATGTATCAATGGAGAGTTTTAGGTCATCATGTGCTCCGCTGATGAACTCCACTGACTTACGAAGCTCCTGAACATCAGTCTTGATGGTGGAAAGCTCTTTGCTCAATACACGCGAAAAGATGGATGGCAGTTCTAACCGGATAGAGTCGAGAACACGTTCAGATATTGCTTCAACCAATTCATCACGCCCAATATCACCCGTACTGCGATCTGGCCTTCGCACGGTAATGTTGTCTGGTATAGTATTTTTTTCAGACTCAATGGCAGCAGCAGCCGTAGCATCATCGTCGTACTCCCTCAAAGAGCGCACCGGTATTCACATTACTCGTTTTTGGTTTCTTACTCTTGCACTCTTGACAGAGCCACTTACCTCTCTGATCCCTTGTCATCGTATTAAATTTTTGTGTGGTAATACAAGCACAGGCAAGATCATATGCCTTATTACACGAACAACATTTAAAGTATTCATGACTCGTAATTGTGCTTAGACAGCCAGCACATGTTACCTTAGGCGCCATCTGTGTGGGAATTCAGGTACTAGTAAATGCAGTAGTGAGCTGTACTGGTGGTATCTTTAACAGCTCTTGCAGTTGATGATCCCAATAATCGTAAGACAAACGAAAAGAAAACAAAGTTTCGCTAAGTTGTTGTCTCTATCAGCCCCTCACTTTGGTGGAATTTGGGAGGCAGGAGTGATGTCAATGAAACACCACTTACGCCGAGTCATAGGTGAACAAACGTTAACGTATGAAGAATTAAATACATTCCTTCACCAAATCGAAGCATGTTTAAACTCAAGACCACTGTGTGCACAAAGTGAAGCCATTAATGACAACGTCGTACTAACACCAAGTCATTTCCTGATCGGACGAGAGGCAGTAGGAACACCTGATCCAATAGCAAACATCAACACTGATTATGTAAACAGATGGAAACAAATACAAAAAATGAAGAAGGATTTCTGGAAAAGCTGGACAAAAGACTATTTGCACCAACTTCAACAACGTTACAAATGGAAGACTAACCAAGAGAATTTGACTATTGGAACACTAGTACTCGTGAAAGAAGACAACATAAGTCCTAGCAAATGGCCACTTGCACGAATCAAGGAAGTACACACAGGAAACAATGGCAATACCAGAGTAGTTACCTTACAAAAGCCATCAGGTACTATTCAAAAACGGTCATTTCACACATTGATCCCCCTACCAGTGAAAGAATTCACAGATAACGATGATGGCACTAAGAGTCCTAAAACAGTACAAGCGAATTTAGCCCAAACAAATATCAAAAGAAACACTACATCATTAGGAAAATGGCCAAAATTATACATGTTCCTACTATTAATATTGCAACTGTTCGGTATAGCAGCATCCACGTACATTTTGAAAAGTGTAGAACCAGGGTTCTATGTCGAGCACATAGGAACAGCAAACATAAATCGAGGAACATTTTTTTTTTTTTTTTTTTTTTTTTATACCTGACAGGCAAATGACTCCACTCCACCTGATGTTAAGTGGAAAGTGGTATCCAAACGCGAAGGAACCTAGTGCAGCGATGGAATCCTCACTGCACTAGCCGCCTCCACCCTGCCTGCCTACAATATGCCTCTTCACGCCTCGTTTGAAGGACCCCATATCATAAGAGGGAGGGAAGACATGTGCCGGAAGGAAGTTCCATTTGTCAACCGTGCGGCAGAGAAAGGAGCCACCGAACCTTTTAGTACGCGATGGAATGCGGCAGGTAGTGAAACGGTGACTACGAAGGCCAGCACGCGTGCTTCTGAGCAGGAACGGGGAAGGGGGGATGGGGTTGAACAGCTACTCAGAGCACTCACCATGGTACATACGGTAAAAGGCGCTAAGCGATGCAACATCTCTACGCAGTTGCAGAGGTTCAAGGCGTGATGAGACCTCTTCGTCGCCTATAATTCTAGTAGCACGACGCTGTAATTTGTCCAAGGCATCGAGTAGGTACTTGGCGGAGCCGTCCCACAAGTGCGAACAATACTCAACGCAAGACCGGACCTATGTTTTGTACAGCAGGCATAACTGGTCCGGCGTGAAAAAACGTCGCACCTTGTTCAGGACTCCGAGTTTCCGTGAGGCTGTTTTGATCACAAATTCGATGTAGCTCCTTGGATTCAAATCACAGCAGATTTCCATACCGAGCAAGGTGAAACTGCTCTGAGGTGAAAGTGCTGTGCTCATCAGAGAAGGCATGGGAATGAACGGCGACAATTTTGTTGTTAACGCGCAAACCTGTGTTTTCTTGGCGTTGAACTCAACAAGATTACTGGATCCCCATGCAGATATGAGGTCCAATATCCTATTGAGCTCAACGACAAGATCAGATCGCTCTCTGTCAGTATCGGCGCGCCCAGCTGCGGGAAATCCATGATATCCCCCATGAACAGTGCTATCATCTGCATAACAATGAATATTCCCAAGTGGAAGCATATCATTGATATGCAGAAGGAAAAGCGTGGGAGATAGGACGGATCCCTGCGGTACGTCGGCGTTCACATTCACGAACCTCGAAATGCTGCCGTCAGAAACGACGCGAATTCTCCGCTCACGAAGGAAATCGGCAATCCAGCTGCATAACTGGGCTGGCAAACCGTACGCCGGGAGCTTGGAGAGAAGAGCTTTGTGCCAGACCCGATCGAACGCTTTGGCTATATCGAGGCTAACAGCCAACGATTCGCCACGTTTGTCTATAGCCTCACCCCAAATATGCGATAAGTACGCTAGAAGGTCACCCGTTGATCGTTTCGGACGAAACCCATACTGCCGATCATTAATTATGGAGTGATCTTCTAGGTATTGGGTCAGTTGTTTATTAAGGATCCGCTCTAAAACCTTGCATATTATGGAAGTAATGGCTATGGGACGGTAATTATGCGGGTCTGATCGGTCGCCTTTTTTGGGAACTGGTTGCACATTAGCCTCTCTCCAAGAGTCCGGCACATGACCTGAAGAGAGCGACAGACGATACAGTCGCGTTAGCACGGGAGTCAACTCAGCTGCGCAATTCCTAAGTACAATCGCTGGGATACCATCAGGACCACTAGCTTTCCGGACGTCGAGAGACTGCAGCTGCGTACGCACATCGCATTGTCTGATACGAATATCAGACATCGTGTAGCCACAGTGAGGTAGAGTTGGTGGCTGTGCGTTACAGTCGTCGAGACAGGAGTTAGCCGCAAACAGATTTGCCAAGAGGTCGGCTTTATCTTGCGGCTTGTGGGCTAGATTGCCGTCAGAATATCTCAGCGGTGGCAGCGAGGGCTGGCAGAAGTTCGACGCAACGGCTCTGGCCAGACGCCAGTAGCTACGACTACCTGTGGGATGCGTCAAGAGTTCTTGGCCAACTCGTGCGACGCGCTGAGCATCCGCTCTGATGTACGCTCTTTTGCAAGACCTGGTGGCATTATTGTAGGCTGTTTTAAGTGAGTTCGTATTGGGATCGTCTGAAGCTAGACCCCTGATCCAAGCGCGGTATGCAGTCTGTTTGTTCTCAACAGCCACAGCACACTCGCGGTTGAACCAGCGGTTGCGCCTCCCTTTACTGACGAGATCCGAATGCGGGATGTAGTATTCCATCCCGATTAAGATCTCATCAGCAACGGCAGTCGCGCTAGCTGTTGGATCCACCTCACTAAAACAGCGCTGCCGCCAGGGAACGGATGCAAAATAGTCCCGCATACCGTCCCAATCTGCCGACGCATAATGCCAAATGCGGCGTTTAGCCACAGTAGGTGGTGGTGGCAGTAACGTTGCCACTTTAGTGGATATCAAGCAGTGATCCGAAGTGCCCAGAGGGGCTTGGACCACCACCCGATATCCAGCCGGGCGAGACGTCAGCAGAAGGTCCAACAAAGAGGGCGCGTCACCAACCCTATCTGGAATCCGGGTGGGCTGATTCACCAGTTGGGTTAAATCGTGTGTGAGAGCGAATGTGTGGGCAGTTCTTCCAGCATGGTCAGTTTTAGAGGAACTTACCCACGACTCGTGGTGAGCATTGAAGTCCCCTAAAAACACCAATTCCGCTGTAGGAAACTGCGCCTGCGCGTCATCTGCCGCCCGAGTAAGGTGGTTCATGAGACGAGTTGTCTCCATGTCGCCGTGGTGGGATCTGTAGAGGCACATGTAGACACGGCAATGACTGCCCAGGTCAACATGTACCCCAAGGATGGAGAAGGAGGGGTCCTCCAAATGACGCAGACGGCGACAGCAAACATCTGCC